AGTTCCCACTAATATTTCCTTTATATGAAATCATTATACTGGACTGTGTTTCACTTACTTTCAAAGGACTCTGGAATTGCAATTAGAGAAAGGAATCTACTGGAAAGAGGGTCTAAGAAGAAAAAGAACATGAAGGCAATCTTGCGCCTCATATGTGATCACAAAAGGAAGTTCAGTTTGGTAAACTTAGAACTCAAAGGAGAGAGATACAGAGAGTGGAGCAGAAGAAATCAACAGCGACCAATGGTGGGGGAGCCAAGTGGAGCAAGCCCTTGAGGGGGTATCCATTATCTGGCTGCTTTCTCTGACCTGATGCCTTCTTTACTATGTTCTGAGTTCTCTTCATTTCCATATACCTCACTTGGGAGTGAGAAAAGACATTTTTTTTTGCTGGCTGGTGTCCCCACCCGGAATATTGGGACCCAGTGCTCACACCTTCTGGAAGTCTGAGGATAGACTCTTTTAAGAAATACGACGATTCTAGGCGGGCAGCAACTCTCACTTGACTCCCCCACTCAAAACCGTAGTAAAATTAGAAAAAGAAGCAGGGCAATTTTATATTACTTATTCGTGTGACCAGGAAGCACAGCCTAAGAAGTTTGTTCTCGGACATTATGGAGGGAGTTCCCATAAAGAGATAACTTGCTCCTCAAGCTTCTTTCCCTCTTTCTCACCTATTTTCCACTCCACTTTCTGCCCCAGGGAGTGAAAACTGTTCTTGGAGCCCAAAGGGTTGGGTCCGGGACCAGCCGTTCTGAGGTGACGTAATGCTTTCTCTGGTACACAAAGCGGCCTCCCGGGGGCCGGGCCTCTCTCGCCCCACCCCCAGCCTGGATCGCCGCCCCCGCCAGCACCATTACGGGTGAGTCCCCCTTTTTGAAAAAGCAGATCAGGGAAACAGCGAACAAAGGGCCCGTAAGGAGAGCCTAGGCACTGCTAGGAGGCCCAGAAATAGACATCACGTCATCCCTCAGCCCAGCAGCGCCAAGCGCCATTTGGTAGCATGGGAAGGACCACACCATTACGGTGCAGAACGGAGCTTACAGGGTTCGCTTTTTCACTCAGTCCTAGCATCCAGCTGACTGGCTTAAGGAGTGGCTTTCTTTCTGCTCCCCACCCCCGCATCCTTCTTTCTCTAGAGTCCTCCGCCTCCCCTGGCTGCCAGCCACACAGCTCATAGTCTCCAAGCTGCCATCTTGACGCCCCATCCCCCTTGCCGCTTCCCTCCCCTGCAGCCCTTAGAAATAGGAGGGGGAGGAAGGGGCACCGCCCTGCGTGCCCCAAGAGGGAGGGCTTGGCCTACCCAACCTCTCCTCCCCCAGAAGGAGGGGTTCACATCCTCCGCATGCTCGGCGTTTCTCACCCCAGCAGTGCACCATCCAAGGTTTTAGCATCTTGGACTTGCCTAGCCCTCGGTGCCACTCTGGCCTTCCAGCCCCTGCAGCCCGCACTGCCTGCTACTCACTACTTCAGGCCTGATTCTAGCGGGTTTGGCACTTAAAGGATCCCATCTGGGCTTCACTCCCCGCCCACTGCACAAACCTCTGGCTTCGCAACGGTTCTGATCACCTCAAAATTAGTTTGTCCGTCTCTACTTACCAAAGCTAGGGCGGATATTGGTGATCTCGGCCATGTCGTAATCAGAGGCTGTTGATACTTTCGTAAAGGTAAGACACCTCTGGGAACCCCTGGTCAGTACTGAAGCTGCTGCTGTAGACCTCTCAGTGAGGGGAGAGGGAAGGTGTATGGCAGACTTCTGCGACGGTCCGATCCCTGGTTGCCAGCTGCGCTTTCCTCTTCGATGCTCCAGGGATGCTCTGAGCTAAGGATGCAGGTGCAGTCAGACTGGTCCTGATGCGAGATAGGCTCCGCCTCCTTCCGAATGGCCTTCGGCAGAAGACTCCGCCTCTGCCCGAAAGGTTCCGGAAAATCTTCGAGAGGAGACCCCCCTCCCTCTGCCGAGTTTTTCCGAGGACGAGGCTCCACCCACTGATAGGCCGTGGCCTAATAAGACTGAAATTCCAAAGCCCCATAAGAAGTCTAGGTGGGTGGCGCACGCCTGTAGTCCCAGCACTTGGGAGGCAGAGGCAGGCGATCTCTGTGAGTTCAAGGTCAGCCTGGTCTACATAGTGAGTTCCAGGACAGCTGGAGCTACAGGGAGACCCTGCTTCAAAAAGACCCCCCCCCAAAAAAAAGTCTGGGAGCACTGGCCCAGTTGCGCATGCTTGTGATTATAGCACTTGAGTGGGTGAGGCAGGATAGTCAAGGACAGCCTTGGCTACAAGGCTACGTCTCCGAAAACAAGTGCAGGAAGAGTACCACATGAGGGTCTTCTGACGCTGTGATTCAGGTTCCCTAGGTTTATATAGAAACAGAATGATCTGGGATCCCAAACTTTAGAAAAATAAAATTCTATACTTGGTTTCGTTATTGCTTGCCGTTATTTTTATGCATTTCTGAGGCAATAAAGGTAATTATGGAAACAAATTTGAGAAACTGAAGATCAAACCTGGTGCCTAGCATGGTGGCACTCTAATCCCAGCATCTGGAAGGCAGAGGCAGTATGAGTTCCCAGGCTCATGAGTTCCAGGACAGTCTGAGGTGTATAACAAGACCCCGTCTCAAAAAACAAAAAATTCAGTCCTCAGCTCCAAAAAAAAAAAAAAGAAACAAAACAAAACAAAAAAAGACCCAAAGTCCAAACCTATGAATGGTTGCACAGTTCTGAAAATTCCTTAATTATACACATAAGATTTTTTTGTAGTGTGTAATGAGTTTTAAAAAGACTATGGCACACCTGGGCGTGGTAGCACACGCTTTAAATTCCAGCACTCGGGAGACAGAGGCAGGCTGATCTCTGTGAGTTCAAGGCCAGCCTGATCTACGTAGTGAGTTCCAGGACAGCTGGAGCTACAGGGAGACCCTGTCTCAAAAAGACCAAAATAATAATAATAATAAAAAAAAAAGGACCATGACTGAGTGGTTAAGAGCGCTGGCTGCTCTTGCAGAGGACCCAGGTTCGGTTCCCAGCACCCATAAGGCAACTAACAATCGTTCAAACTCCAGTTCCAGGGAATCTGACGTCCTCTCCTGGCCTCTGTGGACACTGTACAATGTGGGTGCACTTTCATACATGAAGGCAAAACATACACATAAAAAAAAATACAGAGCTGGGCATGGTGTCACATGCCTTTAATCCCAGCACTTGGGAGGCAGAGGCAGGTGGAGCTTTGTGAGGTCAAGGCCAGCCTGGTCTACATAGTGAGTTCCAGGACAGCTCGGGCTACAGGGAGACGCTATCTCAAAACAAACAAAACAAAACAAAAAATCCTATAAGCTAACAATGTTAAATAATGCATTCCAGAAACCAGTTAGGGAATGTCCACCTAGGACCATCAGGATCCAGCACCCACATGGCGGCTAAGAACTATCCATAACTCCAGTTCCATGGCATCTGACAGCCTCTTCTGACCTCCTCAGGAATTACAGGTTATGGGTGTACTTATGTACATGGACACAATACACACATACATATAAAATAAAAATAAATAAGGGCCTAGAGAGATGGCTCAGTGGTTAAGAGCACTGACTGTTCTTGCAGAAGACCCAGGTTCTAATCCCAGCACCCACACGGCAGCTAACAACCGTCTGTAACTCCAGTTCCAGGGGATCAACAGCCTCTTCTGTGCTCTGCGGGCATTGCACGACATGGGTGCGCTTACCTACATGCAGGCATAACACTCATACACATAAAATAAAAATAATAAATAATTTTTT